CAAATCTATACTTTTTAAAAGCAAAACACCCTGCAGATTATTATAAGTTTTCGTTTAAAATTTTAATTACGGATTTGTTGTTGCAAAAAGCAAAGACAAAAATGGTATCAAAATAAGGATGTTTTTAATCCTCGCCAAGTCAATATGCTTGTTGATTCAACAAACAGGATGGAAATAAGAGGTCAATGTTTTAATTACATATTTCATGTTTAACGCTGAGACAGAGAAAAAACGAATGGCATTGGATGAAGAATGGGTGGTTACTTTAGTGGAACAGCCTAATAAATTTGATGTTTTTAAATATGGATCATCGAAATTAACTTCTATATCAACTAAGGAAATTTACAGTGCAAAAGTAGAGGCCTTAAAATTAACAGTAGACGAAAAGGGTCAAACGATTTTTTAGAGTTTTTTAAGTATTGTTGATACTCCAGATTTTTATAAGCCATTAAAGAAAATACAATGGATAAAGACAATCAACAGAAAACTCTTCAACTTCCCAATCCTTGGATGGTCAACAGTTTCTTTAAAAAAATTTATTAGCAAAGGATATGGGTAGAAGCATTAATTATGCCGAAATATTTTAAGTTTTGAGCTGACAGCCTCTCCAATGTATCTAACAGTAAATGGGTATCTCGGCACCTCCACAAATAAGAGTTCTTTGGAAAATATTGTAGAACAATATGGCATTTACTCACAAAGACTTACCTGCACCTATTGACTCTGGCAAAACTTGTCACATTTTTGATGGGATGGCAATAGTCCAAGGTTTGGGAAAGTCCAAAAGTTGTATATCATTTAAAGAATATGCTAATGTATTCGTAAACGTTATTTTTAGAAATAAATTTAATGCTTAAAGGATAGATGTGGTATATGATCATTATAAAGAACATTCTATCAAAAACTCGTCAAAAGAGAGGATCCCAGAAATCAATTGATGTAGAAATTGACCGACCCAATATTCCACTTCCGCAACAATAGAACTTGTTTATTCATTCGATATTTAACAAAAGACGTTTAACAAATTTTCTGTCAGAGCAACTTCTTCAAAATTCCATTCAGCAAAAGCATATTTAATTTGTAACTAGTGGTGGATTCGCGAATATCAATAAATATGGGACGAATTTTGAACCATCAAAAGAAGATTTCTTAAATTCAAATCATGAAGAAGCTGATACTCGTATCTTATTGCACATATTGTCAGCCAAAAATTCGGTGTATTCATGCTGCATTATTGATTGCAACGATACAGATGTTCTAGTCTTAAAAATTTATTTTAAGAAGTATTTGACTAAAGAGATATGGTTCAGAACAGGGCGAGGAGACTCAAGACGATTTCTAGCAGTACATGATTTAAATTTGGATACCTTCTAAAAAATTTGCCTGCTTTTCATTCTCTGACCGGTTATGATACAGCCAATAGTCTGGCATTGGGAAAAGAAAACATATTCTCTAATCTTGAAAAATGTTTCATAAAAATTTATTCAAAAACTGCCAATGTTACTTCCATTAACATTTTGAGGGGATTAATGGCCTCTCTAAAAACCATTGCTAAATTGCCACCGACTGAAGACGACCTAAGATTACATTGTTTAAAATGTTTGGCTAAGCTCTTTAAAGCCGCAGATGCAGCTTCCTAATGTTAAAGAGTATGAATAGAAAGTAGATCAAGATGGAAGGCTGATACCCACTCTAAGACTGTCCGCCCTGCCACCAGACATAACAGAACTTACACCATGCAAATGCAAAAAAGGTACTATACACCGATAATTTTCATAGATGTACAATATTCTAACAATATTATTCTGTTCTAGACTAAGAAAGCAAAATTTGCAAATGCAGGAAAAAAATATTGGCTGTATCGGTTCCTGCACCTACCTGTATGGCACAGAAAAACTGCAGCAAAAGTTTGACCACAGCCGCTAATGTTTTGGAAAATGTTGATTCGTGTGGTGAATCTGATTCTGATTAGTTTAAAAGTCTTGTACTTATAAATTTTAATAATAATAATTTATGCTTTATACCGGGTGTTCAAATTAAAGTGTTACAGCTAAATACCGCATATTATAAAAAAAAACGTTTCAGACGAAAGTTTTATAGTTTTGTGGGTAAAAATTTTTGGCTAAAATCATTTTTTTCAGCTAACCATAATATGGCCAACTTTTTTTTCGCCCAGCAAAATTTTTAAGTAGCTGCTACTCAAACAGTAAAAGTCGAATAAAAAAATTATTTCCATCTAAAGTTTCTTATTTTTTTATGTACTTTAAGAACATTTACAAAAAAAATGGGGTTCCCATTTAAAAAAACAAAGTCCACCTCGATATGGCCATATTATGATCAGCTATAAAAAAAAAATTTAGCCAAAATGTTTCCCCCAAAAAAACTATGAAACTTTTGTCTGAAACTTTTTTTTCTAAAATGCATATTTTCGGCGGTATTTAACTGTAACACTTTAATTTGAACACCCGGTATTCTTTTAATTATTATTATTATAATGTTTTTTTACATTGGGAATTTATTGTATTTTGCAAAGCAATAGCCTTACTGTTTATAATCGATACTTATATATACTGTGTTTATACCTTTAATAAATAGTTCATATTTTCTTATTTTTTATTTTCCTCAAAAAATAAAAAAATAAATCATAGCGTATAAATCAATAATCCCTGAATACAATAATATAAGAGAGTGAAACTGATTGCATACATTTTAGCACTGAGAGAGAAGAATAGAGAGTCGAGAAGCTTTACCTTCAATGTTTGCTTTCTAGTTAAACCATGACATAACTAATTGTTTATTGCTATATTTTTGTTAATATAAAAGTAAAAAATATGGGGAAAGCACTGTTACCTTGTTAATACATAGGCGAAACTTTTATGAAGAATAGTTTTTTCTCATTTAGGCCTTCGTTTTTCGTCAAATGAGAGGTATATTTTTAAAAAAAGATTTTTTTTACAAATTTGTGGACGGTTGAAACCGAGATATTGACGTTTAAATTTTTTTTCGACCATAAGGGCTAATGCAAATGATTTTTTTAAAATAATTATAAAAAAAACACTTCCTACAAAGACCTAATTCTGCATTAGAACAAAAAAATAAGCATTTTTTTTTCTATATGGTGGTATCAATAACTCGATTTTTTATGATAGTGCCACCGGTGATAGTGCCCTTTTGCACTGCCTAATTTTGTATTACCTCCGGAATAAGGGTAAGCTTATCATGTACTTTCATCCCTGAAAAATTCAGCTTGTGACACCGAAGTGGGAGGCAAAGTCAAAAAAATTTTAATCTATACCATACAAAAGCCCGTACCTGTGAGTTTAGAAGAATACATTTTTATTCGCAGATGCGAAAATGCAGAACGTATATTTGTTACTTAGTTGCTAACTAGAGGCAGCACCTCTCGGATAACTTTATTTTGTCTCTCTCTGGGAGGACTTGTTCAGACTTCTCTGTTCCATTGCACGCCCTTAAACTATACCAAAAGAAATGTTCAAAATATCATATATCATATATATTTAAAGTAAATTAAAAATTAAGTTTGTTTTAAGAGAATCGTAAAATAAAAACAAAACAATGGCATTCTTGATATAACCAAAGTATATTAACCGTTGAGTAGCGACAGCTGGGGAACCGAATTCTAGTGCGCCGACGCGAAATAGATAGGCGAGACGTCTTCTAAAGATGTAAACAACCCCTTTCACTTTAGTCCGGCAGCTGATATAGGAATTCGTTGTTGTGGATTTATTAGTCAAAAATTGTATTTAGCGACATGTTTAAACAACGCGAAATTTAAAGTTTGAGACAACTCGATTAATAAATAAGAAGGTCCATAAGTAATAATTTCTATTATCAAAAATCAAAATCCTGTGCACCTACCAACTTTCAAGTCTCTAGCTCATCCGGACGTAGGTAAAAAAATTGAAATTTATCAATAGTGATATATATTTTTATATTTATTACATAAGTTAAATACTTATAAATATAAAACTGCCTGATGACCAAACCTTTATTATAAATGTAAACTACAAAAGAGTTTTACTTCAAACTGCGTCGAGCAGTGTAAACATCACATTCAAGACCAGTTCATAATACGAGCAGTGTTTTAGTGTGTCGTTCCGTCAATAACGTCAAAAGAGAGAGAGAAAAAATTTGCACCACCCAAGATCAAAGGCACCGACGCTTTACGTCGCTACTCAACGGTTAATATACTTTGATATAACAATATTTTGCTTATATCTAGAAAAAGCATATTTAATATTTTTAAATTTAAATAATTGTATATTTTTAAAATAATGTTAGCATGCTCTCTTTGATCATTTTAGTTTTTTTACATTATGCAGAATGAAATATTTACTACTTTGTTTCAAATGAATCATAAAATTAAGATAATAAAATTATACATTATTCTTTTTAGAATACTTATTCATGTATCTAGAATGTGTATTATTAAATTAAAATAATATAATCTTCTCAAAATGACGTTAAACAATATATTGGGTGGTGTCAAAAAAAAGTATTTAGTAAAACTATGACTATTTATAAGCAAATACTAGATTTGGAGTGAATAAACTTAGTTAGCATGTGCTAGGGCTAGATAGTTCTAGATTTTTCCTCATGTCTAGATTCTGCTTAAATATTAAGGTGAATAAAAACTTCAGCTACTTTCTTTCTATAGCTTTTGCTAAGAGATCTGTAAGTGTGGTCGGGGACACACTTCACTTTGTCTGGGGACTCAGATATTGTGACACACTGGAACGAGTACAGCTAGCCTTTTTAAAACTTGTTTTATTACTTGCTTTTATTGAAAATGTCTGATTATTTATAATATTATTTGTCGAAGCTTTCATATTACGCCTCTCTATGGCACAACACACATCTTTAAAGACAGTAGATGTTATTCTAAAAGATTTTTTTAGTATTTATATTTTGTAGCCTTATACTCTAAATAAATTGGCGACCACATCGGTTTTTGTGTAATTGTGGTCATTTTCTATGCTTTATGGATTTGCTGGTTCATATAGCTGAAGTATGGACATCGTGTACTCACCAAAGTCAATACACAAATTTATAAAATACTCTTTGTACCGCTTGTCCTCACTATGTTGAAAGCGGGTGTCATTATTGTTTGAGTTACCTAGGATTGATAGTTCACGGGCATTAATCGGAGATCCATTAAATTTACTTTTGGATTGGTGAAAAGTTTGCAACTGTGTTGTGCATGCTTCTTCAATCCATAAAACTTTTCTTTCACAAAACATTGCTATTGTTAATATTACTGCAGTTATATGCTTACAATGTGATTGTGTACCTTCTCCTGCAGCACATTTACACTGTTCAATGTTCAACTTTATTCCACCTTGCACATCTTTAATAGTTTCTGGAGGTAACAAACACATTTTTGGTGCAGTATTTTCATTGTCTACTGCCACAAATTCAAAATTAAAGTTTCTATCGTACGCCTCCAATCTGAAATAGAATATTTTATACTCTTTGTGTAAATCGAAATATTATTTCATACAAACCTCTCAATTAGTTCAGCCTTTTCCTCCGCATAATTGCTCCTTGACGCTTTAACTTATCCTTCAAAGATTTTAATTTCCAACTACTATAACTCATTTTATTTTTAATCAACAGGACATTCACTAACAAATTATAAACAATGACATAATCATATAAAATGTCAACTTACAAATTTAATAGCGAGTTTACAATGGTGCTGCTACCTACAAATGGTTTTCGCTAGATCCTCCCATTGAAGCAAAAACATATGCAAATATATTTGCGGTATCCAATAAAAGGCTTGTTACGGTTTCAAAATTCCTACTTTATATTACTCTCCGAACTAGTGTCTTATGCAAATAAAACCTTTAATATAAATAATTTTTAAAATCTATATAAAATATCCTGTAAAGAGAATAAATCTTAAGCCTGATGATATTTAGTAGAGTAGTTTCTCTCGCCCAGCTGATTCTGGTTACCTGAAATTTAAAATAAAACATCCCTTTAGTATTCGAAGAACCAAAATCTGAGTTCTGAAGATACTGACCTTCTTCAATCGGATTTTCCTCTTAAATATCCTTTTTATAGTAACTTCCTGTTCCTTTTTCCTCAAGTCGTTGAGATTTTCTATCCTAAAATAAGTTTTAATATTTATAGTTATTTATTTTAATAACAGATAGGGTTTATTTATTTTTATTGTGCCACTTGTCCTTGTGTCATTGTCATTCAATCCACTAGATTGACAAGATTTGGTTCTGGGTGAAAAAAGTACAATTACATCTTATTAGACAAGGTTAGACAATGGGCATATACTAGTAATTGTTTAGAAATAGAAAGAGATAGATACTTTTGGTCAACATTTTTAAAGGGAACTTAAACTCTGACTTTCAACCTTTGAAGGGTTGATTTGGCGATTCTGACAAAACCTTGCTGAATAGCAGAGAGCTCTGTCTTGACTTTTCGTAGAAAAGGATTCTTTTAGCAAGATTTATCAAGAAACTCAAAAGTATTATCTAGAAAATCACCATTTATATCTAGTTTGATAGATATTAAATATACCTTTTGGCTAGGGATTAAGATTGCCAAGATAATATTGAATATCACAATAAGGCCACAAACCATCTTTATAGCTTTAATAACTTTGAAATGACAGCCCGCTGCCAGGTGGCATTTTAGTTATCCACGTATTAACTTATTTGCCAATTGACCGCCGGCAGTCGTGTCAAAATCCAAACATAACCTTAAAATAATTTGTGTAAATTACAACGTTCCTTTGTTTAGAGCTGCATTTTTATTTATCCTGTAATATTTCAGTGTTTTTAAATAGAAATTTTGTGTTTAGGGTAAGTTTTAGATTATTTTTAGGTTACTTTTACTCACTAAACATTATTATAGATGGACTATTCTAATAATGATCCTTCTACGTCTCGTATAAGAGATCGAAAGAGATCACTAAAGGAAGCTGAATTAAAAAAAGCTATATAAAAGTCTCTTGACGAAATTTCGGACGAAGATTCAAACGATGATTTCAACGACGGTGATAGCATCGCAGACAAAAACTATGTATGTAGCGAGAGTGATTCTGATCCACTAGGCCAACAATCCGATACCTGTTCTTGTATTTGTAAGGAACAAGATAATGACAACACACAAACAAACATTGACAATCAAAACCAGAACTACAAGTGGAATTAGGTTACCGGGTTAAACCATAAAGTTTTTCAATTCGATGATCAGTTTGGTGTTAATCCTGGCATTAACATTGCAAATATTTCCGTTGCCGATAGCTACACACTTTTTAATACTGATTAGATTAAGGCTGTCAATTCCTGACGTGATAAACGGTTAACCGGTTCGACTGATTTCGACCGGTTTCGGTTTTAAACGGATTTTTACTATTATTATAACCGGTCCGGATATCCGGTTAACCGGTCCAATCAAACCGAGCCAGTCGAAACGGATCGGTTAGACCGGATTCTTCGGCGGTTTAACCGTAACCGTGACCAGTTAAATCCGTCACTGGTTTAACTGTAACCATCACCGACTTAATCGTGGCAAAACACATCCATCAAATCCATTGTTTTCAATAGAAATGGGGTCACTTTACTAACCATTTCACCTTTTCGTTACCCGTGACAACCAGGTAGTGCATGCTTGATTTTTTAAAATAGACACTCACTAAATAAAAATTAAATAAGAATAATAGAAATACTACCAATTTTACTTTTGCTAAACTTTATTGAAAATTTAAAAAAGGACACAGTCACTCACTTCCTACTGGGAGGGTAAGTAGGTAAAACTAAAAAACAAAAAGATAAACTATATTCAAGTAAAAAAAAACATTCAAAAATAAATTATAATTAATTGGGACATAAAATAAGAAATAATAACAAATACCTAATAACAAAACTGCTTATTTTTTTTTATTATTTTCTTTTGATGCAAAAAATCAACTTATCAACGTTTTCCGGAGCAAGCAGTTTTTTTTTCGCCGAAACTATGTTTCCTGCACTGGAACACACCCGGTCACTGGAAGTTGATGTGGCTGGTACACATAAATACGGTTATAAACCGGAGCAACCGGTTCCGCTTAAACCGGTTACGGTTACACCGATTACGGTTAAACTAGTTACGGTTAAACCGGTTACGATTAAACCGGTTACGTTCTTTAACGGTTTTTTGGTCTACGGAACCGGTTAACCGGTCACGGTTACCAGCCTTAGATGAGATATTGCAAGTAATGGTAAATGAAACTAATAGAAATGTTGAGTAGGTAATTCGCGGAAAAGGCATGCCCAAAAAAGTAGACTTTCTTTGTGGAAACCAACGAATCTTGATGAAATGAAAAAATTTCTTGGTCTTATACTGTATATGGGATTAGTGCGATATCCTAAAATTCCTTGTTACTGGAGCAAAAAGAAGATACATAAAAGCTATATTGCATGCCAGATAATGTCTAGGAACAGGTTTCAATCCCTTTTAAGATTTTGGCATTTCTCAGATAATGAAAGCCCAGATACTGGCAAGAATCGCTTGCACAAAATGAACTTCCTTGTTTCGTTCTTCAATATTAAATATAGAGAAATATTAATACCAGATAAATATACTGCAGTTGATGAAACCATGATACCTTTTAGAGGGCGTTTAGGTTTTAGACAATATATTCCCGGAAAACGCCACAGATATGTCGTTAAATTATTTAAAATGTGTACAGTGTACCAAGAAAAAAACGAATGCAATCCACAGAAAAGTCTTGCCACGAGTGTTGTTTTAAAGCTTTGTGAAGACCATTTGGATCATGAAAGAGTTTTCATAACAGATAACTTCTACACAAGCATCCCTTTTGAAGAAGAATTAATTAAACGTAAGATGCACACAGTCGGTACTGCGAAAGAATAGAAAGGGGGTACCTAAAGAGATTACGTTAGAAAAACTTTAGAGAGGTGAAATTTGTGAAAGGGAAAATGCAGACGGTATTGTCGTAGCAAAATGGAAAGATAAGTGCGAAGTTTATATTCTTTCGGACTACCATAACCTAAATATTGTCAATACGGGAAAAAATAATCGAAAACGTGAAGAAATTATCAAACCGCAATGTATTGTAGATTATAAAAGAGACAAAGCAGGAATAGACTTGTCGAACCAGCTTTCATCACATTCTACATGTGTACGGAAATCTTTACGTTGGTACCATAAAGTGGCCACGGAGTTATTCATGGGAACCACAGTTGTGAATGGACTAATAATATACCGTATGGGTAACCCAGGAAAGACAATATCTGTAACTAGTTATTGTGAGGAGTTAGTCAGTTCTCTTTTGGGTATAGATATTAAAGCAGATGGATCCCAGTCAAAAAAAGCAAAGTATGGACACGTAATAAAAAACAAGGTTTTAAAGTTCCGACGAAATTGGCAAAAAAAGTAAATACTTGTTTAACCTGTCCAGAAAAAGCGTTTGTATGAATTGTTTTCCAGACCATATTTAGTTCTTAAACAAAACTGTGTTCTTTTCATATTAAGATTTTTAAGTATTTAAAAATTTTCTTTATTAATAAAGGTGCCTTTAAATTTCTATTTTTGTTTGTTATTTAATTTTAAGAGCCTTCTGACATAAGTTTTGTGTGCATTCCCACTTTAAATATATATTGATGAGTTGCCGACCATAAGATTAGCACGATCAAATGCGCAGCTGGCGTTCCGTCGACAATTTTAGTAAAGCTTGCAAATGACAGCGGGCGGCCCAAGCGACGTTTCAGTAATATTTTGAAATGAACGCTCGCTGTCAAGCGGCTTCTTTAAAAAAGCCACAAATTTCATGTAGGCAGCCAACGTGTTAATTATATTACATACAGTCCAAATTGAGCCAAGAATAAACAGGTTTGTTTGGATTCGAAAATACCTAACGATGTTTAAACTGCTAAGATCTCGATGCGCAATAGGCTATTATCATACTCCAAACCGACGAGTAAAATATAAAAAAGCCAAACGCTTATATCGTACGATACGATAATTTTCCTATTTTTCTTAATAATAGATTAGAGGTAATTTTTTAGGCCGACTAGCTCATGCAGCTGAGCCCTAAAAAATTGATAAGAAGGTAAATTATAGGTTAGGTCTCATTGATGAAAGTCTTGTTATTTACTACCTAGGTATCTATTTATACTAATTATTGTAATAAACGTAAATTAATTTTACAAATGATCAAGTAGAAACCAGAAATATGACTGGTAAGTTACTAAAAGAGCCAGAGAGTGTGAAAATATTGATAATTACCTTCTTTTTAGATCTAAATATGTCGGAATTTATTTTAATAAATCTGTTAGAAAAATCAAACGAATGCTCTGAAACTACAGACTCTGATGAGATGTTTTTTAAGAGAAAGAGATCACTAACCTATTTGTATAAAACGTATAACCCAAAAATTACTTTAGGTGCAATTAAACCTCTTGAAAGGATGTGGGAAATTA